GGTAGGAGACGTTTAGAAGTAGGTAATAGAAAGTAAAACTACTAATAATTAAGTTTAACAAGAACAGACTAATACGTTACCGTGAATGTATACGTAACCTAAACCTTGTCGAAACGTTGTACATTTGCTGTTATGTTAAACTTATATTAAAGTTTTTCTTCATTACCCACTCAATCCGTCTCCAACCATTATTTTTGCAATGGTATTTACAGTGATCTCTAGAACTTGTGACTCAATCATTACATAGATGTTGTTATAAAAGGAAACACTGTATAGCATTGTAAAGTTCTGCTGACCTGTTGATGAGATATTTAGAATACCATTTCGATGAACAATCCGAGCCACCCTTACGCAGGCAGTGCTGCCACCTGCCTGATACCACGTCACCAAAATGGAATGAGTGACTAATTTTTACAGTAGTGGTAGATTTTGTTTGTTTTGGAAATTCGCACAAAGTTTATCTACGCTAGCCGTCTTAATTTTGATTGAGAGAGAGAAGGCTGCTAGTCAACAGCACCCACCGCCAACTCTCGGACTACTATAATCGAAATATTGGATTTCATCGTCACTATTATAAAGAATTCGCAGCACCAAAGCGCAGAGCGCGTTTTCGAAGCAAGGGGATGAGAACCACAGACCCTCGTATTCATAGTCTAACACGCTAACCACAAAGTAACGTCTTATCCATAGAAAATCTAGATTACCTCTACGTCAAAACCAACATTGACATTTTGATTTCAGTTTAAATCTTTTTAAGATTAAAAACTAATAAAAGTCAAAGATCATGTTTATTTTGTATGTAATAATACAAGGGAAAAGTTGAGCGAAACTCTATGTATTAATTCCGAAATTAGATGATTTCACAATATTTGAAAACAGTTGAACATTTCCAAAAATAAACATTTCCAAAGCCAGTTTTAAAACTTGAATAATTTCTTAAATTATTCTCTAAAGTATAATCACCATTACCTTCAAAAATAAGCTTTCATGGTACTTTTACTCACTGTTAAATATAGAACTAACGCTCCTCCTATGGTGTTGAAGACACTTTAACTACTTTAAGTTGTAACAGAAATAAGAAGCACGATATTTCCACTCGGACAATAAAGCCAAGAGCTAGTGTTCGTCCTTATTATAAGTAAGGTGAAACTGAGACTTGTACGATCTAGAACAAGCTGAAGTTTTGTAAAAAAAAATATTGATAACACATCAGTATAATAATGCACAAATGATTATAGAATTAACAACAACAAAAACCCTACTAGTTTTGACAGGCTAACACTTTCATTATCAAGGGATAGAGTAAAACTATTCTCAGCGTGTTGTATGTTCAGGTTCAAAACGATCTCGGAAGGGCCAAGGTTTACTGTCGGCAAGATAGTGCAGAAACTAAGTTTTTAAAAAAGAAAGACTTCCAAATAATGTTGAGTTCAAATTCCATTTCATAAGTGAGAATATTTTCAGTATTTTTAAATATTTTTGTCGATTCTCTTGTGTTGTGTTGATGGAAAAATCTGGATCTTCTGAAATGATTTTTTTGATTGATTGAATTTAATTATATGATTGGTAGTATGAACTCTTAAACGCTAAAGCCGATTTTTCAACTTCTTTTCGATGGCAGTAGTCTTTATGTTCCTTAACTTTAATTGC